TGCCCAATTTCTCTTTTTTTTTTTTTTTCAGGGGTCCAGAAGGCTAAAAGGTGGGGAGAAGGAAGCCGAACCTCTAATCGACCTGGACACATAAATAATTCTCGGTGTCGAAAGAGATTTGAGATTCCGTAAGTAACTCAGTGAGTACTTTTTAAGAAGGGCTTGGAAGAAGAAAATGAACTCTGTAGTTGAATTCATTTTTACTGCAAGGTGATCTTCCCCCAAAATCTATGAAGTTCTTGATTAGCAAATTATTGTTTTTATAGACTTCTCTGACATTTTGGACATTGTCATCTGTACATTCTTTAAAACCAGACCTTAATTTTATAGAAAGGACTACTCGAGGTGGAGTATATACCTTTTGCAATTTATGGCTTTTCATTGATGTTCTCCTCTGAATTGAATCGCATCATGGTATCAAGCTCTTGTAGCCTGTATTACCTTCAATCTCGAAAATCATTCCGCTGGTGAATAATATTAACTTTTCTATACCAGGTTGCAAGACTCACTTGAGAAAGGCACCGAGCATGAAGATGAATATATGATTAGCGAGAAGGAGCTCCTTGTCAATAGGTAATATTTACTGAGTCATTCTGAATGCTTGTTATCATATCTACTTGCGCGGCTCTCTCAAATTTGATTTGTAGCTAATTTGCACTTTGCATTCTAGATTTATTTCTATTACAAAAGATATGGGTGCTTTCAAGTGTAGAGCTTTCGTTGCTTTAACAACAATGCAGTAGAGCTGTTTTTTGACAAGTAGGCAAAATAATTTATTGATTGAAGAACCAATGCGTAGATGTGCAGCAGAATCAACCCTCATCTATTCCTTTAGTGAAAATGTCTTCTAAGTAGCTATTAATTATCTTCTTCTTTTTTCCTTTGAATGGTGGGCTGGAAAATGCAGGTTTCCAAGCTGCGGTGACAGCACATTTTGTTTTCGTCCTTGAAAATCTTACGAGGAACTCTCTTTTGCAGGTTTAGGACCGAAAAAATCAGATGTCATGCGGGAGCTAGTAAAATAAACCTTGAACGATGATAAACCAGACAATAAAAGAAAAATATACCAAAAGAGAAACAAATATTTAACGTGGTTCGGTCAACTGACCTACGTCCACTGTGGAGATGAGCAATCCACAGTACAAAATATTGAAAGAACAACCTCACGAAGAGGCAAACACAAGTAGCACACTAACACTTGTCCCAAACACAAGTGACACACTAACACTTGTTCCTTAAAGTTCTCTCTCTAAACACGACTCTCAAATCACATATGGCTACATTGTGGATGCTACTGAATGAGAAAGGAAAGATCATCAATTTATAGAACTCCAAACATTTTCCTACAAGGAAAAGGATTATCCAAACATGGAAGAATTATAATTTCCTTCTATAAAAAGGAAAACTCAATTATGATAAATATGTTATCCTTTCCTTGAAGAAATAGGAAAACCAAATATGGTTAGAAAATCGGGACAACACCTAACACTAACTAAGGAAGGTTAAACCAAATATGTTCTTTAACCACCTAACGATGAGATGACAAGAGGATGATTGCCGCACTCATAATTTTCATTTGAATCCTAAGTTCCAATTGCCGCTTGTGGTACTTTTACCCATCTGATCCTTAAGGCTCCTCTACTGTATCATACGGGAACAATTACACTTCATTTTGGTGTGAAATATTGTTAGTTTGAGACTGTTTTGAATCCATGTAGTTGATGAGCTGTTGCTGCAAATTACCAAATGCAAGTTTGAGAGATCGGGATTGTTTGATCCGTCCTTATTCACACTTTTTTTTTCAGGATCGAAAAAAGTCAGGTGTCATGCGAAAGCTAGTAAAGTAACAATCGAATGATGATAAATCAGACAACAAAAGAGAAATATACCAAAAGAAACACAAACATTTAACGTGGTTCGTTCAATTGACCTACGTCCACGAGCGGAGATGAAGAGTACAAAATATCGAAAGAACAACCTCACGAAGAGGCTAACATATGTGGCACACTAATACTTGTCCCGTAAAGTTCTCCCCCTAAACACGAATCTGCTACATTGTGAATGCTTCTTACAAAAAGAGTGACTAGCCAAATATAGGGGATTTATAATTTCCTGTTACGGGAAGGAAAACCCAACTATGATAAATATGTTATCTTTTCCTTCAAGAGATGGAAAATCAAATATGGTAGAAAATCAAGATAAACACCGAACAATTTGACTTCTTTGTTGCTGACTTGTGTAGAAGCTCCCAAGCTTCCCTCCTTGTTCTTCCTTATTCAGTAAAAATATAGGCATACTTAGAATATGTGCACTTAAAACTAGAAATAGATGCTATAAACTGTCACTGCTGTGGCGAAATGTATATGAAAAACTGTTCCAATCTGAGTTGGTTATGTACCTGGGGTCTTCAGATTGTCTAGTAATAAAGACAATGTCACATCAGAATTTCGAGTGCTGCACCTATTGCAACATTTTAATGCTACAACCACCCTGTGGTAAAGGTCTTTCTATATATGCATACTAAACATAACATCAAGCTAAGTCAAGAATGTATGTTTCAGATCTTTTTCTTTTTCACAAGCTGGAGTTTGGAACTGAACCATAAAGGCTGAAAGGCAGATGTTAGAGAGCAAATAAAAACTGAAATTTTGGGTTAAATTTTAATGGGATGGTAGGCCAACAAAAGTAGGACCAGAGGTGGCAAACAGGCGGGTCGGGTCGGATATGGTTCAGATTAAGGCTGTAAAGTGGCCCGGGCCCAGACCTAAACGGACCAAGTGGGCCGGGCCTGGGCCCACTGTCTCGGGCTTCACGGGCCTATATGGTGTAACCGGCCCGGGACAGGCCTAAGCCCATATGGTCCCGGGCTAAGTGGGTCGGGCCCCCGGGCCTAAGTGGGCCGAGCTATTTTAAAAAAAAAAAAAAATTATCTAAGGTAATTTCTTGTAAATTATATTATATAACTGTGACTTAAATCTTGTAATTCAAATTTAAACACAAAAATATTGTAAAGAGATATTCAAGGGAATGCGTTATAATTTTTATTATTATGACATTAACAAAAAATGACCATATCTTTCTTAGTCTTCCTCCCCCCAATGGAATGAGCACAACAAGGTGCTAATATCACCATTAAAAGGAAAAAAAACTAATCAAGATGTGCTAAAATACAAGTTACATATTAGTTTACATTGTATCTCTTACAAATTTCATAAATCCTTCAAAGTTCGAAGGAATTTCCGTTGGTGGTGGCGGAAAAGAAGCTTGTTCATCACCGTATTCGGGCGAAGCAGCATCCTCCGCAAGTTCAACTAGCATTTCTTCGTAAGCTTCGTCTATCTCTGGTTGTGATTCAGCAAGTCCAAAGTTTCTTGATTTCGAACGGATCCATTCTCTGAAGAGTACTGATTTTTTCAAGCTCTCCCTCATAGATGCTCTATGTTCACCGAGAAGAAGTCTCACTTGACTGAAAGCACTCTCTGATGCCACTGTTGAAGCTTGAATAGTTAAAATGTCTCGAGTCATCCTTGAAAGAACCGGAAAGTATTTTTTTTTGTCCTTCTACCATTCCAAAATATTAAAGGAGTCGTCGGAATTCACTTCTTCAAGTCCCTGCGACAAATAAAGTTCAAGCTCATTTAGTTGTGAATAATCACTAGCCGTGGAACCTTGAGAACCCCTGAACCCCGCTCAAGCACTATGTGCTCTTACTCCCATAGTTCTTTTAGATGATCGCGAACTAGAAAAAGTAGGAGTTGGAACATTTGGTCTATCTTGATCTAAGGCAAGTTGATAAGCATTATAAATAATTTGAGCATTTAATTTAATTGAGGCTTTTGCTTCCGGAAGTGTACACAATTCCTCATCTTCAAGTGCTAAACCGTTATAAACAGTTTCATACCAAAATTGAGGACCTCCTAATTTCATAGTAGGATTTAACAAGGCAGCAACACCATAAATAGGGGAATAGAGAAAAATTATTTTTTATACTTTTGTCTCGTAGAATCAATAGCAAGTTCATAAATTACCCCACCCTCTGAAAATTGATTAAACAAGGTAGCAAGTTCTGCAAGACAAACTAAACAGTTAGAAATAGTCGGATAATATTGCCCAGATAATTCATTTGTAGCAATATGAAATTTTTTTAAAAATTCTACAAGTATTTTAACACTAGCCCAATCATGATTTGTAAGGTCCTCATCATCATCAGCTACACGAGCATTAAATGTTGAGTTTATTGGGTTTCTATATTCATATGCAACAACTAAACTTTCATACATGTAATTCCATCTAGTTGGACAAGGTTTGGGAACCTTTCTTTCTCTTAGGCCAAATTCATCGCATCTTTTAAAATATTCTCGAAGTCTACTTTTACGGTTTGAATAAAAAAAGCCAGTTAAGAGCCATTTTAACCTTTTCAATTTCAACATTTAAAATTTTCATACCATCACCGACAATTAAATGGTAAATATAACAAATACATCTAATATAGAAAATATTACTAAATGCAGGATTTAGTATAGTGGTAAGCATGGCTATAACATTAGTGTTACTAGAAGCATTATCCATTGAAACTGACATTATTTTATCTCTTATGCAAAAATATCTACGAATATCCGTAACTTTCATTTGAAGAAATTTGGCTTTATCTCTAGGGCGTTTCTTTATGTGTCTAGTCAAACTTCCCGTATCTCCCCC